TCTTAGGCTTAAAAAGTGTCTAATGGTCGCCTGCATCATTCAGAAACGTCCTCATTGGCAGTTTTTTTTTAAGTTCAAAATAGCAAGTATTAACCGATGAGACTGCTATTATTCACAGTGGTGTAGGAGGGAGTTCCGACGCCTCTGATTCAGTATATACAGATTGGTTTGTGACCAACCTAAAGATCCACTTCCCCCGATGGTTGAGCGGTAACTCTGAGGACGTACAAAGTTAAAAATTGGGTTTTGATACCAGCGGTGGACACAGCACAGATGCGTAGCTTTGTGCTTAAGAACAAACTAAAGATCCTAAAGCGAAAACAGGAACAAAACTTTCTAACAAAATAGCAATGAAACCGGATTTATTGTTGGTATTACGTTAAGTTTAATAAACGATATTTAACAACATTTTATTGATTGATTCAATGTCATTTTTGTTTTGTTATTGTTAAGAAGTAAGTAAATAAAAGTAGAAAACAAAATGCGTTTAGTGAATCATTTGTACGTCGGAAATAGTTCTTTTTTTTTGCTCTTCGTGTAAAATTAATTATTCTGCCGGCATGGCCAGGTGGTTAGGGCGCTCGACTCGCAATCTGAGGGTCGCGGGTTCGAATCCCCGTCTCACCAAACATGCTCGCCCTTTCAGCCGTGGGGGCGTTATAAAGTGACGGTCAATCCCACTATTCGTTGGTAAAATAGTAGTAGTTGGCGGTGGGTTTTACAACACTAGTCTTACACTGCTAAATTAGGGACGGCTGACGCAGATAGTCCTCGTGTAGCTTTGCGCGAAATTCGAAACAAACAAACAAATCATTATATCTCGGAATTACACAGTTCATGGTGTAGTTGATTCACCAAAAATGATGTTAATATTAAAACATAGAGTTTTCTTGTTTCATGTTTGTAGAAGTTTGAGCAGTTAATTTGGATAATCCTCATTGTGGGTCAGCGGTAAGTTTACGGACTTACAACGCAAAAGCCCCCCCCCCCCCCAGTGGCACAGCGGTATGTCTGCGGACTTACAACGCTAAAAACCGGGTTTCGATACCCGTTGTGGGCAGAGCACAGATAACCCATTGTGTGGCTTTGTGCTTAATTCCAAACAAACAACGCAAAATTCCGGTATTCGATTCCCCGTGGCGAACAGATTGTAGATAGTCTATTGTGTGGCTTTCCGCTAAAACACACACAAAAAAAAAGAACAAACTATCAATTAGATGTGTGTTTTTCAGTATAGTGCAGGCTAAGCTTGTGTCGATACTAGGCGCCATGAACTTGTATTGCTTACACCAGGGTTTCTCAGCTTTTTGCACCTCAAGGCCCATTTAGTTATGTGGCACATATACAGTTGATAGACACTTTAATTTAGGGCAGTCACAGTTGTTCTGGCGACTTCTCACGGCCCTTCGGTGAAGAATCATTGATTTACAAGATAATGAAATAACATCTCGTGGAACAAAACATGTAGACTCAGAGAAGTACACTATATAAATTAGACTATACTATTTGGCAATGTATCAGTAGAATTATGATTCAGACTGAGAATTTACTAATATAAACACTAAATACTAAAATATTTTATCTTATTTGTTTAAGCACAATAGGCTATCTGTGCACTGCCCACCACGGGTATCGAAACCCGGTTTCTAGCGTTGTAATTCCGCAGACTGGGGGGGGTTCTCCATGTCATGTGTAACTTTTAGTTGATAATCGGTGACATAACAGAATGGATTAGATAACACGAACAGTATATATTTTTTAAAGCTCGAAAATAAAATATCTGCGCCTTGCCAACCATAGGAATCGAACCCTGAATTATACCGTTTTTGGCCCTCAAACTCACCGTTGGAGCCGCGCGATGATGGAAAATGTTAAGTTTTTATATAGTATTATTATCACTTTCACGAGTCTTTACCATGTTGTTGTATGGAAAATGACGAACGCAATTCTTTCTTTATTCATTTAGAATATGCATACGAAGTCTCCTGGTGGGACAGCGGTAAGTCTTCGAATTTACAACACCAAAATCAGGGGTTCGATTCCTCTCGGTGGACACAGCAACTGGCCCGATGTGGCTTTGATATAAGAAAAACACACACGCATATGTATATGATTTTTTTATTCAATTCACAATTTCACATTACTTTGCCCCCCCCCCAAAAAAAAAAAACAATTTCTGTGGATGCCAATGCTTGTCTTCAACGCTTTTCTAAAACAATGGAATTTCTGGTTTCATCACAAACAGAGAAGGATCGATACCTGTTAAATTTGTATATCTATTTTTATACCATGTCGTTGCCAGTAGGCCGTACCTCGACGATTAGAGTTACTGTATTATATGCGTGACCTTGTCTTCAACGGATTACCTCATTCGTTTAGATCACGTTCCACACATGTGAAATGTGTTTAGATCCGTCTATTCTGAATAAACGTACTGTTTTAAGTACAGCTTAAGATCTGAAGGGGGGGGGGGCTTTTCCTTATCGTGACTATATTTGACCTTGAAATTACTGACTTGTTTTTGTATTGTTGTTAACCGGTTGTTGAGGGGGGGGGGCGCATAGACTGCATCGTTTTGAGTAGTTTTATACTTTGGCCTGCTACAGGTCAATATAAAGAAGTGAAAGAAAAATTGGGTAGAATCATCCATTTCCTATGTAAAATACAGAAAAGATCTTATCAGTAATTAGGGGGTTATTTGCAATACTGATGATATTTTTGCTATTTCTTTTGTGTTACTAGTATGTTATTAGATATCATTTAACCAACATGCCCCCAGTGGCTCATCAGTAAATCTGAAGGCTTTTAACGCTAAAAATCAGGATTAGATACTTGTGGTGGGTACAGCACAGATAGACCGTTGTGTTGTACCTTTGTGCTAAAGAAAAACAAAACAAAAAACTTTTAACCAACAGAGTTATATATCCAAAAGCAATTGAATGTATAAATAGGATAAAAAACATGTTTTTAAAACAATAAATGCTATACCAATCGGTATTATTAAAGTTAATGAGAAGTATGAACGCGTGAAATAAATGTTTTTTGCAGTAATGCATCAGTGTCATAATTTGTATTGTTAGTTCTAGCAAATTCAAGAAACAAACTACCTTGTTGTCGTAAATAAGACAACATTCTAAATAAGATATGTATGTGTGTTGTATATTAATAAGGTACGACGACACTGTCGCTTTCGACAGATGCACCTGTTTTCTTTTACTGCTTAAGAAGAGATAAGACAACCTGTAGAAAGTAGTAATTTCACTATATATATTTTTTTAAATGTGGTTTACCAAACTTTTTTTATTCTTAGTAAGTGGCTCAGTGGTATGTCTGAAAGCTTATAACGTTAAAAACTGAGTTTTGATACCCTTGTTGCGCAGAGCAGGACGACAAAATCTTGTCGAAATATCGTACAGTATAATCAAGTTTTTTATTATCCAGTCTGGCCGCCTCCAAACTTTTATTTTCTTAAAAGTTAGCTCCTTGTTATCAAGTTATAAAATATTCATACGAGGGGCCAAGGGCAAGTTTCTTATTTTGGCCTTTAACTACACACACGGTCATACAGACACGTGTATGTGTTCTTCACAAGGCCATGTCCTAGTAACAGTAATTTCGGTGTGGCAATCCTAACCCCAGGACAAACAAACTGTTCTTGGAACCACGTGGGAGACAGATATTCTCCAGCCGAGATAAGGAGTAAGCACTCAGCTCATCAGTGATGTTACTGGGGTCTTAGGACCCCCCCTCTCCCTCCTCTGTGATTAACAGGTGAGTATTGTGTGGTGAAGGGAATTTTTCCCGCGTGAGAAAGCTCTGAGTATGAGGCACCCCAACTTCAACAATAATAGAGCTGGAAGAATGGACCTCCCTTACAGAAATAAATGTACATCTTCCAAGAAAGGTACTTTGGGCGATAGTTCATGTAGGACAAAATGGCAGTCCAAATTCTACTGATAAAAAAGATGTCTTGGCAAACCAGCACACACACACACACACAAACAAACAAATCACAGTTTTATACTGAATACATCTAGTGTTGAAGTAATGTACCACTTCACAATACTAACAAAATATTGCGTATTCGCACAGTGAATTTCGTTGAAAATACTCGTATTTTGAACCTGATTCGTTATTGTTCTTAACGCCATCTTCTAATGTAGAACCACGTGGTCACAGTCGTTAAATTATTCGAGACGATTTAACTTATTTACTTATACACTACATCGTAACAATCAATGTGAATTTAGTAGGAAGTATTTTCCAACATTTTCATATCTTGAGTCGTAAATTGTAAATAATGGTGTACATTAAACTAGGCTAGGCCATTATTTGTCTTATTCTGAATAGATATATATCATAACCTGCAAATCACGCTTGCACAACAAAGCAAGTTGCATATGTGCTAGTGTGAGCATGGTGGTCATAAATATATTATGGAAGGCTGCTTAGCTGGGGTTTACTCTTCAATTCGTGTGCGTGCGTTATAAGTTTCTTTAGTTTAAATTGGATAAGTTGTGTGAACACTACTTACATATATATCAACTTTTGTGTTGTAAATCTCGGAATACAGAGTTGAATACTACATAATTTACCTGTGTCGCACTAACGTGGTTTGCAGCGACAAGTATATAAATACTGTTTGTATTCTAAGTATCGCAACACTAAGAGAAAGCGTTGTGTGCATTCACATTGTTTCTATTCTATATATATATATATATATGTCGTAACATTTGGAGAAACGTTGTATTTATACACATTGTTTCTATTCCAAATATCGCAACACTAAGATAAAGTGATTTATGTATACAAACTGTTTGATATTATAAATACCACAATACACTGTACTTATAGAAAGTGTTTTACGTATGCATATTGTTTATGTCCTAAATATCGCAATACCAAAACAAAGTGTGTAGTTTGTATAAAGGTGCGTTTTGAGTTCAAATATGTATTTTATGAACGAGTATGTCAGTTATTTTTAGCCTTAACTCCCTTACTAGATGGCATGGGTCACCGTATTGATGACCTAGAGAAAAACATAGCCGACTTAATGACCCAGACTGGTGTGGACACTGGCAAATGACCCTGTTCCTCCACACGTTTAAAACAGTGATGGGTTAAGCAAGGACCAGGGACTACCTCCAGGTGGTCATTATGATTACATAGCGAGAACCATACAAAAAGCAAAACTAAATGTTATTCATATAAGTAGATGATATTTATTCGTGTTGTTAGAAGGTTCTTTGATGACGGATATAATAATTCATCCTGTATCAGTCGGTACCTTGTAGTAGAAAGATCTTTCTGATTCATCTGACATCGTGTTATTGCTGTTACTTTAGCCAGTTGATAACTGGATTCATCTGAACTTCATTTTTAATAGGATTTCTTGGCGTACACTTAGGAGTAAAAACCTAAGAACAAGTCCAACAGGTGACAGACCTGAGTAAGTCGTTGTGTCGTGAATTGTTAGGAAAATACAGAATGTTTCCCTTCGTTGTTGTTAATAAATGTGTTCGATCTGTTTCGAAGTAAGAAAACACAACTATCGCGAGTTCCTAGATAATGGTTCAACACTATCTTAGTTTACTGTCGTTACACGTTATGACATGATAACTCTATTCGTAGTTAGTCACTGTAATGTTTAGTCACACATTATGACTTTATAACTTCATTCTTAGTTGGTTTTTCACATGAAATCCAAAAACCACCTTTTTATGACTTTTTTTTTTTGCATGAAGCACATGTTTCAGATACTAGGTCTGATGAGGAGACATTACAGTCGGGCTAAGAAACATTAGTTTTGTAGGATAAAACATGCACTTTGTGTAATGAATTAGTCGTTATTCACTATCATACACGCAATTTGTGTACCGACTTGATGATATTTACTAGATGAACGTCTTGTTTACAGGCTTAGTCGTTATTCTGTGTAAAACATGTACTTTATGTACCGACTTGTTGTTATTCACTAATAAAACATGTACTTTATGTACCGACTTGTTATTCACTAGATGAAACACGTCGTTTACAGGCTCAGACATTATTCTGTTTAAAACACGCAAGTTGTGTACCGACTTGTTATTCGCTAGATGAAACACGTCGTTTACAGGCTTAGTCGTTATTCTGTGTAAAACATACACTTTATGTACCGACTTGTTGTTATTCACTATAAAACACGCACTTTGTGTACCGACTTGTTATTCACTATATGAAACATGTCTTGTTTACAGGATTAGACGTTATTCTGTATAAAACATGTACTTTATGTACCGACTTGTTATTCACTAGATGAAACACGTCGTTTACAGGCTCAGACATTATTCTGTTTAAAACACGCAAGTTGTGTACCGACTTGTTATTCGCTAGATGAAACACGTCGTTTACAGGCTTAGACGTTATTCCGTTTAAAACACGCACTTGTGTACCGACTTGTTATTCACTAGATGAAACACGTCTTGTTTACAGGCTTAGACGTTATTCCGTTTAAAACACGCACTTGTGTACCGACTTGTTATTCACTATATGAAACACGTCTTGTTTACAGGTTTAGTCGTTATTCTGTGTAAACCATGTACTTTATGTACCGACTTGTTATTCACTATATGAAACACGTCTTGTTTACAGGCTTAGACGTTATTCTGTATAAAACATGCACTTTATGTACCGACTTGTTATTCGCTAGATGAAACACGTCGTTTACAGGATAAACAAGACGTGTTTCATCTAGTGAATAACAAGTCGGTACACAAGTGCGTGTTTTAAACGGAATAACGTCTAACAGGTTTAGTCGTTATTCTGTGTAAACCATGCACTTTAGTCACACCAAACATGCTCGCCCTTTCAGCCGTGGGAGCGTTATAATGTGACGGTCAATCCCACTATTCGTTGGTAAAAGAGTAGCCCAAGAGTTGGCTGTGGGTGGTGATGACTAGCTGCCTTCCCTCTAGTCTTACACTGCTAAATTAGGGACGGCTAGCGCAGATAGCCCTCGTGTAGCTTTGCGCGAAATTCCAAAACAAACAAACAAACAGTGTATGATCTGAAAACGAAAATTAACGTTAAAATTTGGGTAAATATTCCTTGTGCTTATACATTAGTAGTCTGGTATAAGAAGCTGATGTATTCTGAATTTCAATTCATTTTGATGGGAGATTAGCGGTTCCAATTATTTTGAGTTAATAACAATGTACGATCTGAACAACGGAATTTATCGTTTAAGTTTAGGATAAATAGTATATATATTTGTTCTATCTATACATTAGTAGTTTAGTATAATATATTCTGAGCATGTTGAATTTTAATTCATTTGAATGAGAATTCAGGGTTGAAAAACTCCAATTAGTAATAAATCGAGGTTGTAGCAAAAATTCAGTATTTCAGTTCTTAGTTTAAGTAACGGGGAACTGCTTTAACTGTTACACCCCGCCTATATGGCTACTCTTAACCGAATATCAGAATTAATTTTCACAGTGATAATGGTATTCGGTGATATACTGAAGCTCGAACCTTGGACCTTCCTTACCAGCTCTACATGCTAAAAACTTGGCCGCCATTTAAAAATATCAAAGGAGACGTGTAGTGACGTCATTGCCATCCTATACTGTTCGAATGTCAAATTAACCAGCAGTGTTTCAAGTGTTGAGAGACATTACCTCACACTCTGAATTTAATCAATTAATTACACAATATTACATAACAAGTTTTATACAATGGCTTCCCCACATCTTTATTTAGTAATTCACAAACGCACAAATACATAATACGTGCAACACCTAAAACTCAAAATAGTAATTGTAAAAAAGAAAAAGAGAAGTATATACATATATATATATATATAATCAAACAATTACAATTCACATCTTCATCATGCTTGGTCGTACACTTAAAGCAAATTTAAATAAAACATAAATAAATAAAAAATGTCGTTGGCATAATGTTGTGGTTACGGAAGACACGTGATATCTACGATGCCAGCTTGGTGTTCTAACTTTGCTACTTAGCATCATCAGATGACCAGACAAAACGTAATGAACTTTATAATCGTGTTCAAAGCTACTTAGTTTTATATACCTTTTAGAACCTTGATAAAGTAAACCTCAGTATTTACATACAAACAATATTGGATATTGGGAACTTAAAAAAATCTCTTCTTAAATAAACTGTAGTGAACGGGAATCGTGTTAAATAAATTATTAGATTTATCGAGTTTCTCACTCCCATTAACCGGAAGTGGATAACACTTTTGCTAGACTAGGAGTTATTCATCGTAATAAAAGTACATACTCTCTCTTCCAGTTTCATTTTAAGTAAGTCTGAATGGTAAGATTCCACTTATTAAAAATATAGTTGAATAAATTCTGATTTGTAGTAAATTCAATGGTATGGTGGTGTTTATTAAAATCCATGTCAAGCCAATCATGTAAACTTTACTGACGTAAGAGAAGTTAATAAAAAATCTCCTATATCCTGTTTTTAATATATACAAAAATCATCTATACTGGATGATTCAGTGTAACCAGGTGTGAAGTATAATAGATGGATAGCCCTAATATCTTTCCAAGTGAGTAAACATGACTTGTTTTATTATAATGAATAACAACTAAGCCGAGCCGATACAGGGGATCCGAACCCTAACTGGAGAGAAATTATAAATCTTTTACTGTGCGCGGCTTTTTTTCACTCTTAGTTATTTATTACATGTATATTTTTATAATTTTATTTCGCACAATTTGGTGGACTTATTCCTGTACGCTATTTACAATGGTGAAATAATTCTGTCACATGATATATGTGTGGCATTACTGATTCCTGTACGCTATTTACAATGGTGAAATAATTCTGTCACGTGATATATGTGTGGCATTACTGTTTCCTGTTTAGGCTACAGTCAAGTTAAAAGGTAGCTTCAAGGTTTTCGATACTTCCCTAATATTTTTTTTTCTACTCGCTTTTGAAATCGTAACTATCACTGCAGAGAGTTGGACGTCCGTAAATGTATCGTTACGTATTTGTTTGTCTGTTTGTTTTGAATTT